TGAAGTGAAATTGCCTCAGATTGATGCTGGAATTTAAATCCTCATAGGCAACAGAGAGTACAAGCTTCTATAACCATGGCGAGTAATTAACAGTAAGCATAATGGGCCATATGCAGTAAAGACCGCTCTTGGATGGATTCTGAATGGACCTCTTAGAGAACCTGTCGAGGAGAGCATGTATGACAACAAGCAGACAAGCATTACAGTCAACAGAATTTCCATTGAAAATGTGGAGCAGATGCTGATACAACAGTACAACCACGATTTTCCTGAACAGAATTGTGATGATAGAGCTGAGTTGTAGCAAGAGGATCATTAGTTTTTGGATTCTGTCTAACTCTGTGCAGTTTATCAGCTGTCACTACTACATTGGCCTTCCATTTAAGAAAGCAGTTATTAAAATGCCCAACAAGCGAAGTGCAGCCATGCAGCATGCATTAAATCTCAAAAAGAAATTCAAGAAAAAACACTCTTTTCATGAGGAGTATTCAAACTTCATGAATGACATGTTTAAAAAAGGTCATGCAGTCAAGGTCCCTACACCTCACCTAAGTCGTCAAGATGGTTAAGTGTGATATATACCTCACCATGGGGTGTACCATCCTCAGAAGAAAAATCTAAGAGTGGTTTTTGACTGTGCTGCCAGCTTCCAGTGAGTAGCGAGCTCCTACAAGGGCCAGACATGACAAATTCACTCATTGGGGTGCTTACACATTTCAGGCAAGAGTCAATTGCCGTGATGGCAGATGTTGAAGCAATCTACTATCAGGTAAGATTTCCTGAAAAAGACACGGACTTACTGCGCTTCCTGTGGTGGCCGAATGGAGATGTAAATCAGGACTTAGCTTAGTACAAAATGGTTCAATCTGTTTGGTGCAAAGTCATCTCCAAGTGTTGCTAACTTTACCCTTAGGAAAACAGCAGAAGAAAACCACAGCAATGCATCTGTTGAAGCAGTCAACACAGTTCTTAGGAACTTTTATGTAGACGACTGTTTAAAGTCTGTTTCAAGTCATGATCAAGCAGTTGCCTTATATAATAATCTCACAGAACGTTTTGCTAGTGGAGGGTTTGACCTCACCAAGTGGGCAAGTAACAGTCATGCTTTATTGACTTTTATTCCTGAAAGTGAAACAGTTTAAGATGTGAGAGACTTGGATTTGAGTCAAGATTCACTTCCTGCCGAGAGAGGTCTAGGGGTGCTGTGGTGTGTCAACTCAAATATGTTCAAGTTTAAGATCAGTTTGAAAGAACAGCTTGTAACCAGAAGAGGAATCCTGTCAATTGCTAATTCCATTTACGACCCCTTGGGTTTCCTTGCACCCATTATATTGCCAGCAAAGATCTTAATGCAGCAGTTGTGCAAAGAAAGTCTGGCATGGGATGATGACATTCCTGAACAGTTTGCAAAAAGATGGAAAAACCTGGTTACAAGAGTTGCATCAATTGTCTGAATTCATTGTGGCAAGATGCATAAATCCAACTGACTTGGGAAGTGAGATGGGATATGGAGTTGTCTCATACCTCAGTCCTATGTAGCACCATTGAAACAAACCACTATTCCACGTATGGAATTGACTGGAGCAGTAGTTGCTGTGAAAACTGACGTGTTGAAAGGTGAACTAGAAATGGAATTACTGGACTCTGTATTTTGGACTGACAATACAACTGTTTTGAGATATATTGACAATGCAAAAATTAGTGGAGGTATGTCAATACTTAAAAATACAAAAAAATCCAGCTGATTCTGCATCCAGAGGACTAAAGGACGGCAGTTTATCTTTTGGTGTGATGAATGAAGCTGAAGTATTATATGCTGTAGAATCTACATTTGTTATTGTATTTCTGATGTTATCTATTTTATCAGTGAAGAAATTCATAAAGTCATTACTATTAA